CTGTGGATGCAGCCATGGAGAAGCAACTCTCTTTCTATTTGGGGGATGAGGAAGAAGAACTTGTAACTAGCTGATGTCCTGCTTGTTTTTTGTGGTAGTCCTGAAAGCTGCCACCTTGTCTGTCTGTCTAATACTGTGGTATTATATCCGGCCTTGCAATGATGTGAAGAGGTCTACTGGGGGGAACAGAGACTGCTCTTCAACTCTACCCCATTAGAAGGGGGTGAGCTGCAAGATTTACTTAATTTCATCCGCAATTTAGTAATCCTCACATGGTTCTGTTGTAGCTGTTTTCAGTGACATGGGAATAGAGGTGGTAATGACAAATTTATTAAGAAACAACATTAAGCAGAAGGGAGGAGAGTAATGCCTGCCCTTCTAATGGCAGCTTATCATTGCCACTTGAGAGATTGTATCTAAAGTGCCCCTAATAATAGAAGCCATGCAACTCTTTGGCCAACAGCAGGTGATTCACAAATAGAACAACATGAATGTTACTTTAACAAGGAAGTGATCTGGTAACCGAAGCTTCATGGGATACATGGATAATACTGAGCATGTCTCCAACATTAGGTGGAAAAACAGCTGTTTAATGTTTAGGACAGGTACTATAACCATTCCCCCCCCACACAGACACATGCACTTTTACAAATACTCCTCTGTTGTTTTTTTTTATGCATATACATTGAAATTATATAGAATAGGAGCTATTTTTTTCATTTTCTGTAGAAGCATATACTGGTCATGTCCTGCACAGAAACCAAAAAACAGTTTCTTGTAAAAGGAACGCAGCATATGCTGCTTTCTTGTTCAATATTTAAAAAGATAGTCCTCTTAAAAATGTCACCAACAACATCCCTGGGAATTCAAGAGATAATAAAATTCTTGCTGCTTTGCATTTACAAAGAATCTTATCTCGCAGGTATTTTATGAATATTAATGCATGTATCTGATGTAAGTACAGTAATATCACTGTTTTAGAAATGGAAATACTTTACCAAATATCTGCCATACTTCTGGTGCATTAATCAGTTTAAATTAGATGAATCTATAATCTCTGTAGACTTCTGGAAATAGTAGATTTTCTCCATTTAGCTATTTAAAAATGACTTATGAACATAGTTTCCTTGATTGAGGCTGACTTGCCATTTTTCATAAAAGCATATTTAAGAATTTAAGTCCACAGTACATTATGTGGCAGACTCAGTTGAAACTGTTTTTGATTATCTATTTTTATTTTTGCTTTAGCTACTTAATGCATCTACTTCCTGATAGAAGTTAGAATGGTTGTTTAGGTAGAAGGGCTTAGTTGAAAGTCCTGTTCTGTTTTGATTTTATTTCAGTGTAAATGTTTTGTTTTTTAAATATAGGAAAATCTAAAGGCATGAATAAATGCACAAGGAAAACAGGTTTTTAATGCAGTTTGCTGCTGTCCTTGTATTCATTAAACTATTTTTCTTTTTCTGCAGTGGTTCTTGGCAAATTTCTGTTATCAAGAAGCTCTCTCAGACGCACAAGTGGCCATAGTCAATATCTTATCGTCGACCTCTGGTAAGTTATTTAAAATGGGAAATGTGCATTGTAAAGCCTACTGAAATGCATGTTTATAAGTTAAAGCTCTTTTCCTTATGTCAGCACTACGTTTCATTGACATATTGTGCCTCCTTTTAAAAGTGTAAAGCTTAAAATAACCAAATGCAGTGGCCTGGAAGTGTTTGCTGTATTATCAGAATTATTTCATTATCCTCATTATGTCTTCCTGCTTTGTTCCACATGGTTTTTTATCTGCCTAGAATTTCACAAGTACATTACATTTGTATAGGCAAGACTTTCTTGACTGTAACAGTTCAGAGGAAAGTTGATATTCTTTTTTTTTTCAGGTGGCTACAACTCACTGTAAAAATCTGCTCACAGATTATTTTTTTAAAAACAAATTGCTTTCTCCATGTAGATTGTCCTAGTTATTTAGAGCACACAGCCATGTGAGAAAGCTATGTATCTCATGTTCCAAGCTAGAAGAGGGGTTGTGGTTTTTTAAGTATTGATAAATTGTTGTTAAAACTTTCAAGCTAGTGTAATCATAAAAAACCCTGAACAGTATTCTCTTATGCACTGAATGCATGTGTGTGTCGTTCAAGGACTTGGTAGATAATATAAGTGATATTAAATACCACAGGATGATGGAAGAAGGGTGGAAGTTACAGTAATTTCAATGGTGAATGTTCCTAAACTGGCCTCCAGAGGCATTAAACACATAATCTTAATAGTTTTGTGCATTTGACAGTTGTAGATCTCTCAAGGAAAAATCTTGTTTTTTGTACAAACGAGGACAAGTGAAGGGACCAGGGTATGTGCATGTTTAAGCTTGCTGCATAAAAAGATGTTCTTTCAAATGGAAATTTGCATTTGATTTAGAGTACTGAGAGCTAAACCACCACAGTTTTAGCTCCTACTTAGTGGTGTGAAAGCATACACATGGGTAGTTACTTTGGAGCAGTACATTAAGTTCTGGCCCCCTCTTTAGCTTGCTGTGATTTGTTCCCTTTGCAATTTGAATAAAGTGCTTCGAGTCTTACAGAGTCGACTCTTCTGCTATCTTACTGAAAAGTGAGATAGCAGGTCCCATGCGCTAATATTTCTAGGATCTTACTCTGCTTCCATTGTAGTACATTTTAATTTTAAAAGCGCATGAGGTATGTTTTTCATCTAACGTGGCAACCATCAGTCCTCCCGGATCATGGTGTATGCATAAAGGCTACCCAGACTTTCGATGCATATGCCTGGGCAGGAATTTTTGGAGGAGTGGAGGCTGCCCAGACCTTCCATCCTCCCTTTAGGCCACTGAGATAGAATCCAAAGACCTAACCAAGTCCAGATGTTTGGTGCAGCCACAGCTGTAGTTGCATAAGTGTCTAAGAATTAAACCTAGGTCTCCTGTGTGGTAGACAAGGATTCAATCACTGAACCACAGGGGACACCTCATATAATGTAAGAACATAAGAAGTGCCATACTGGGTCAGATCAGTGGTTCTTCTAGCCCAGTGTCTTGTCCCTGATGGTGGCAGGAGTGGATGTTTTAGAGGGAGAGCACTGAACCAGGTATATCTAGAGTGTTCCATCCCCTATTCATTACTGGCTTCTGTCTCTGGCACCAACCCCTTGTATCTCTTTTTGTCCTTGACAAGTTTTCTAAAATGGTTTTGTTTAAATCCATGTTCAGTGAAATGTCTAATTTCGCTTGGCATGATAGATGTGAATTGTCCCACGTCTCAGTTTTGAATATGATGTTGAACTATAAATATCAGATAATCCATCATTTTGAGGCATGCGGTAGTTACTACTATTTAAAAGGAAATTCAGTGATGCACGGTTTTAATTTGGGCTGATTTCTAGACTTAACTAAAAATTAAGGTTGCAGTTTAAACATGCAGAACATAAGCTAAATTAAATGTAGTTTGCTTGTCGAGGGTGTAGATTTTAATCTCAGTTTATACATAATCTACATATCTGAATAACAAAATAAAATTAGCAACAAATTTAGACACTAGCTCCATCACAGAGCTTGAGAATGAATTTTTGAAAACTAAACTGAAGTGTTAAACAGACGATTTATAAAATAAAAAGAAACTAAACTGATGGCAGGTCAGTTTATTAAACAGGCTGGTAACCAAGTTTGATCACATTTAACTTCTCTTGCAGGGCTTTTTACCTTAATCTTAGCTGCTGTGTTTCCAAGTAACAGTGGAGACCGGTTCACCCTTTCCAAACTCCTAGCAGTTGTTTTAAGGTAGGAATGTAAACTTCTTAATCTTCCTTTTTCCTTCAACATGCTAATTTCATTTATACTTTTCTAAGTAAATGGATTTACCTGTACAATTTCAAAAGTAGCTAATATTGGTAAGTCTACAGGGAAATTCAATTGTTAATTTTTTTTAATCTGCTGGTACCAAGGGGCCCTGCTTCTTTAACGTTAAACTATTTTTATTCCTTTTATGCTAATTGAAATCCCAATAGTGCAGAACTCTCAGAAACACAAGTAAAGGAGGATTAGGATTAAGAACTGAATTTGTAACCTTACGGTGTTACAAGGCCCCTCTGCAACCAATAGCTTGTTAAATATTTTTGCTTGAAGTTATTCTTAGGTCAAGTGCATTCGTATTTATCATCTGGGAGCTGACTCAAGTTTTGTTTGTTTCTGAAAAGTAATGTGAATTCTGAGCTCTTAAATATTTAGGTAGGTTAGTAAATAGTACTCCTTTTGGCTTTACCACTCAAATTTACAAATATCTAGATTGGTATCTTTGTGGATTTTCCACTTCACATTATCATTTTAAATACTTTTAATGCCTAAACAGTTGATATTTCCTTTTCTAGCATTGGTGGTGCAGTACTTGTTAATCTATCTGGGTCTGACAAATCTGCTGGAAGAGGTACACTAGGTATATAAATGTTTTTCATTTTATACTTAAAGTGAAATTAAGGTAAAGATGTTGTAAATTTGACATGACACAAAGCTATGGGGTGGGAGTGGAAAGGTAACACCAGTTATATACAGACTTCAGAAGATTGTTTAAACGACTGCCAGAAGGGAGTGATTATGGAGTTTCAAGTTTAATTCATTTTATGTAGTAATAGATTCTATAAAAACTTATAGAACATTCTCCAATAGAGTGTTTAAGACTTAACTGAGCGTATTTCTAGAAAATATGATTCGTAATATTATGCCTAATGTGTTTGTTTGATCTTTACAGGTTCCCTTTGGTCTCTTATAGGAGCAATGCTATATGCTGTCTATATCGTTATGATAAAAAGAAAAATAGACAGAGAAGACAAGCTCGATATACCAATGTTCTTTGGTAAGGATAGAAATTGCTGTGTTAATGAAAAACTTTCTCTGAGTCACCAAATGCATTTTTTTCTGTTTTAGGTCCCAGTCTTGCAGTCAATTAAATGCTGGCATAAAGTTAAGCATACCTAAGCATTTTGCATTTGGGAGGACCCTCTCCAGTTTTATTCCAGATTTAGGGCCTGATCTTGATATATGTGAAACAAACAGCAGCAACTTTCCCTGTAGTTAGTGAAAGTCTCGGGCTGCATACACACTCCAAATGATCTGAGAAAATTCTCCCCAGTGTTTTTCTCCTGGTAGAAAAACGTACCTGGAGACACCTACACAGACATTCAAATACTGAGCCCTTGAAGACTGGAGAGCTTGCAGTACTGAATGGGTATACAGGTGTGCCCTGTACACTGCTGCCATTCTGTCTGTGGGCAGACTGAGGGAGTCTACAGCAGGCGCGGGCAAAATGCATACCACAGGCCACATGTGGCCCACCAGGCCATTCTATCCAGCCTGTGGGGCCCCTAAAAATTTAGAAAATTAATAGTTATCTGCCCCTGGCTACCTATCGTGCAGCCCTCAATAGCTTGCCAAAACTCAGTAAGTGGCCGTTCGCCCAACATAATTGCCTTCCCCTGGTCTACAGAGATGCTGCAGTGTGTTCACAGAGTCCCCCTGGCTGTGTACTGTCAGCTCTGCAAGCTCTCTGCTCTTGAGGTGCTCAGCATTTTAATGTCTGTTCAGGTGTCTCCACGTAAGTTGTTTTTTTTTCCTACCACGAGAAAAAACCTGGGAATGTTTCCCAGACTATGTGAACATGTGTACACAGCCTCAGCTGCATTATAAATTTCATTTATGGACATTGGAGTAATCTACTGCTGCTAATTTCCTTGATGAATTCTTTATTCAGTAAAAATTGTAGTGATGTGTTGAAATCACCTTTGATAGAATATTGGTTCCCTAGTGAGTAGTTCTCTAGCCATTACATTTAGCCAACCCTATTATGTTTGGAGTCCTGATTGTAGATCTGAAACAACAAATTGTACAATAGAGCCTGGTTAATCTGCAGAGATTTGGTGTCCCATCAGCCTTTCTAAGCAAAGACTTAATAGTGAAGTGATATTGTAAGTTTTTGTATTAAATATATTTGTGGTAAATGTACTTGTATCATAAAATTTCCAAACAAGATGGGAATTGATTATGAAAACAGCGAAGTATATTTTATGATATATATCTTTTTCTGTCAATTCACACAAATCAGTATTTTTTCTCTGAGTCTCTCAGTCTTCTATGCAAATTAACACAAGAAAAATTATAATAGAGTATCAATATTCCAGCTGAGAAACAGAACTGCTGTCCCAGTAGAACACAGATTTGTAAACTCATAGTATGGACAGTATCTTACATATTATTACTTCTTTTATTTGCCATTGTACAACATCCCTGTGGCAACTACTGCAGTATATCTTTTTTATTAGAAGATTTTTTTTAGAAATTACTTTATATTTTTAGTGATCTAAAACTATTTAGTAGATGAAAATAGAACTGGTGCCAGCTAACTCTTCCAGATGACCAGCCAGTCTTTCAGTGAAAGCTTTTGAGCCAAGGCATGAAAACCACTGTAGTAGCTATTAACCTGGAATTAAAGTTCCAACCTGTTTTCTTAAAGAGTTGTCTGTGTGCTTCTCCTCTCACAGACAGACACTGAGATCCTGTTTTCTCAGATCCATTTCTTTCGATGATGACATTTTTTGTGTCTGTCTTGTGCATCCCTGCTTCACTTGACCAGGTGGACTCCTGCAGAAGCACTTACTGGCTTGCACCACTTACAGAAATCTATGCAGCTATGTGCTGGTGACATTTTTCTTACTGCTTATGCCCTGTTTCATGACCAGCTATCATACTAGGACCCTATATTACAGCAGAAAAAAAACCCAGGGCAGCCCCTCCAATGGTTCTTTACTACCTGCTGTTGAATCCATGGGGGAAGAAAGAGTGGTTGTGATCTTCGGGCTCTCCCACAGCTCCCTATGTTCTAGGAGATCCTTGTTCCTTATGTAAGTTCTTTCTTCCAAGGAGTCAGAATTATTGCTTCACGGAAAAGCAAACATCTTCTAAGTTGAGGAGACTAGTTAAAAACCAAAAAGCAAGCATAAATCATATAGCTGGCTATACATGTTCCTGGTTGGGTTTTTTTGCATAGAAAACTAGGCAAAGGAATAACCTATTAAAGTAGGTATTTTGCAGCCCTTGAAAGCATTTGTACTGTAAGAGTAGCAGAATATGGAGAGGAAGAGGTAATTACAAAATGAAGCCAATAAGACTGGAAATTCAGAATTACTAACATTATCTTTGGTTTTATGCTCAGGTTTTGTAGGTCTGTTTAATCTGCTTCTACTGTGGCCAGGATTTTTCTTACTTCATTATACTGGATTTGAGGCCTTTGAGTTTCCCAGTAAACTAGTATGGATGTGCATTGTCATTAATGGCCTTATTGGAACAGTTCTGTCAGAGTTCCTCTGGTTGTGGTATGTACTATTTACTGCATGCAAATTGTACTAGTGCCCATTTAATTGTGATCTGT